CATCTGCACGCACTTCAACAAACATGGCATATGCCGTTTGAGCTGTGTCATATATAAGTAGATAATTGACTGATTCACCTTACACCTGACATAAATATTCTTTCATCTCATGCAACCCCAAAAATGAAAGATTTATTTTTTTCCTTTTAAAAAACAAATAACCACACTTGGAATGACTAGCATTCTTTCGGTATGCATTCTAAAACTCTCGACTTTACTGTCTTGTCATGAATTATCAGTGCGCATTCTTCGGCTAATACATTTCTCCTATATTGCTGCCGTCCAAAAACCAACATGGTTCAAGCTTTTTGCTATTGTTTTTCTTGAAGGGATAAAATAAAACTGCAAATTGACTCTTAACCGTAATAAATCTTTTTTTACTTCTTTTCAATTGATAAAAAGCACTTTGCTCTAATTAACTTTTGAACTGGTATTTATGGCTACGCCCACAAATTAAAGGCCAAAGCCAGACGTATTAATTAACACTTTATGTGAAATCCTATCATAAACCCTTTTTATTTTTTTGGTGGGGTGGGGGGGGGGCTAAACTTTCCCCGAGTGGGATTGAACCCACTGCCACGTTGACACAAGTGGATAACTTTGCGACTCAGGTTATGCATCAAGCACAATACTTCAAGCTCCACAGAGCAGACTTTAGAGCACTCTAGAGTCAGACTCTCATAAGATGTCTTGGATTACTTTAATCGCAAAGTAATTAGAGATTTTTTTTTATCACTATTGATCCTTTCGGAAATCCTTTATTTAAACAATAATCTGGCTCTACAGACATAGACAACCCCCAATCAAGTAAACTTTAAAACTACCCGTTATATGCCTCCACCCATACCTACTGACTAGCCTAATTCTTTCTTTTTCTTGGGACCAGAATACACTTGATATTTTATACTTCAACTACTGTACAACTGAATATTGAATTTATACACACACGCACATCTGTTCACGCACTTTAACGAGTTGTCTTCTGTGATTCAGAAAAATTTCAAGAGGAGGTCGAAAGGAAGACGAAACTGACGTGAGGGTGGAGGACAGTGCAACTTGTCGGAGAGACATTTTCTACAAACAACTACACGTGTTTCTAAGTACCGTGAGTCTACTTTTCCCTTCATTTCCTAAGTACCGAACCAGTTTAAACCAACTTTCTCCCTTAATATAATTGGTTTTTCAGATTTCTGCTATAGTCTTGTTTTACCTTTCGTACAATTAATTAAAATCACACATTACCATAGCATTGAATCAAGCAAGCAAGCACGATCAGCTTAACATGTTGAGGCGCAGAAATGATCCTATTTGTTCAGTCTTCTTTGTCTTTATCTTGATTTAGAAGTAATATGAGGCTCTTACAGTACCAAATAGTGAGTTCTAGACCTTACGTTGGCCGTAGTGGTCATCATATACTTGGTGGACATAGTTTGTCAGCATCACATTGAAGAGGTCCTATCTTAGAATGCATGCGTTACCTCTCTTTTATGACAATATGAAGGATTTTTGTTTGCAACATGGAATGGTCAGCTATTTTGTTTATATGATCGTTTTCTAAGGTTTTGATGAAAGAAAACTTCTGATAATTAACTAGAGGGAGAATTGCTCTGTAATGACAAGATATAGCCAATGCATGACATTTGAGTACTTATACTAGTTGAAAGTTTTTGGTTTCCCGCCAAAATACTCGTTGAAAGTTGAATGTGAGAAATTCTCCGCTAAATGTCTCAAGGTGTATAGTTAACTTTGTAGGAGGTTGTTCTAACTCAGTAGCTCTAACATTTGGTTTGATACGATTCGATTTTATAACTCATATTCTATATTTGATATGGTATATATGAAGGGATGGGTATATTTTATATTTGGTTGCCAGAAAAAATATATAGGAAAAAAAGAGCTAAAATAAAAACGACACCTTAGCTTGGGAAAGCAAAGGATGATAAAGTAATATACTTTTCCCAATATTATCTCCGATTCTTAATATAAAAACTATTTTAACTTTTAATTTGGTCTTAAATATAAGACCTCAATCCACTTTGTTTTTCATATTTATCTATTTTTTTTTCAAAATAGTTCTTATAGTAGTTGCACATATTAAATGTTTCATCAAATAGTAATTTTAGCTAATTTACATGATTAACAAAAATATTTTAAGAAAGATAATATCTATTTATTGCAAATATCTAACTTAACTAATTTTCTTAATTTTTTTTTAAATTAGTTAACTAGATCTTATATTAAGGACCGGTTGCACCAAAAAGAAGCACAGACTACCTATCCCTAGTTAATTCTAGGCTCTGCTATAAGCTTAATTAAGCATGACTGCTTGATGAGCGCTCATAAAATAACATCCAGAGCTTCCTTAAATTAAAGCAGCTTTCCACCAAACGATTGGAATCCTTGCTTTGTCTCTAAACCAATTTTATTAACCGAGGGAATATCTTTTCCTTTCCTTTGCAATTTCTTTATAGTTCTATAACCTAATTAATTCAGGATAATTTGCGTATCATTTACTCATTTAATATTTATTTCATAATTTTATCACAAAAATAAAATAAGCTTTATGATTAGTCATATCCGATGCTCGAAAAAAATAAAATTGGCCAGTACTAATATGCCCAAAAGCTTCATCAGAATGGAAAAATTTATCTTACCAAGTAATGCATCCCATAGCTATTAAAACTATTTGCTTTGTTTATAAACTTCTTCGTTATTCCTTCTATTAATAAAAATTTGTCTTTCGAGCTTTTCAGTACAGAAAAAGAGTATTTAAGTTGGTTTATAGTCCCTGCAACTCATAAAAAGTGTTAACTTGGATGTTTTTTTTTTTTCTTTTGTGAATTTTTAAAAATACTTGTCTGTTTTGGTATTTCAACGTGCCTAGGCATTTAAAATGCCGTCTTTGCTAATATTAAATCCAAAGTTTTGATCACATGCAAATTTTTTTAATGTAGTTAGGGAAAATATGGCAGAGCGATTGTATAAATTTCACTGCTCCTTCATGCATAAACAACTCGATGAGTTTTATTTAGCATTTACTCATCATATTCAATGTTTTCAAGTATACTTTTTCATTGAAACTTCATGGATACTGTCTGAGAAGATAATTATAAAAAGATTATTTCGAACCAATGAAGAGAAATATTATATGAATAAAGAAGGCATGTTGGCTCCAAAGCTCATACATGCATGCGGCAAATAAAAATTATCTTGATGTAGGAATCTTTATTCTATGGGGAAGAAGTGTTCTCATTAGAGACCTGCTGTCTGCGTCTTTTCTCATGAAAGACATGCTCAGCATCTATATTCTTTATTGTAGCTAAGAATTAGAAGTGGATCTTTAGGAGTGTAAATAATTGATGGACTAGCTAAGCAAATGCTAACCCATCCCAAGAAAAAACTAGGAAGACCTTCACATGTTCGTCACAATCCTACAGATAGGTAAGTCTGCATTAGACTTCAGTTTATATAACAAGGACACTACCTTTACAAGGTGTAAACTGTGAGGAAATAAGATTTATTATAAAAAAGCCTAGCGAATAAGTAAACTGTTTCATTCTAGAAATTTAGTCTGGAAGGGGAGGGATGAGTATTTCCTAGAATCTAAATGAAGTTTTGCAACCAAATGTTTACACCTTGATGATATGAACTGATACCCTTCCTACTAAGTTGTTCTTAACAACCCTATAATCCATTGCTCTAGTCTAAACACATCCTTTTTTTTCCACTGGAACTTTTGGTTCCTCCAACGCTCATGGGTTTAATAATTATCCATGTCAATATGTGGCTGAAGCTTCAGATTTGATATATATATATATATATATATATCATTATTCAATATACATCCTCCGCATGCTTTGGTTTTATTTATCTTCTTGAATCTGCATGTTCCGGTAAGCTGATCATTCATATTTTGAAAATTTAAAACGAGAAGTCGACATAAGTATAGTGGTACGTATAGTGGATATGTGTCCATTCTATCACTTCTATAAATATAATCAAGCAGAGTTAATCGCACATTGGAATACGCTTAAGAGGTTATCCAGAGACAACAAAACATGCATATATACATCAGATTAACCCTAATCATTTTCCAAGGGATAATCCAACTTTTAAAAAATCGACATTAATGTAGAAAGATGTCATCTGAAGCGTGTCAGCAACACAAGTATGACTTAATAGAAGCATAACTATTTTGAGAAATCTCTCTATATTGCTAATACTCGAAGATTTTGAACAATACGTGTCACTAAACATATATGATGGGTCAGAGCAGGGACAAGAAACTAAAAGTTACATTATTAATTACACAGAGGGATGACACACAATCATTTACCAGATTGTTTTCCAGAAGCTAGCAAATGGAAGAAGCCTTATTACCTTACATGCCAAAAGGAAAGCAATTAAAGAAAACACATCATGTTTGCATTTTAAATATTGATCAATTGACACATCAAAGATGCAAGGAGATGAACCAATATATCGTACGTTAGATCATGTGGTTGTTGTACGCCTCCCAAAGTTTTGCAAAGGACTGAAATTCCGCAAATTGATGATGCTGCAAACAATTTGATGGAGCTATTAGAAATGGTAATAGAGGTATGCTTTAATCTGTTTCGGTGATGCATGTTTGTCGATATGATGCTACATGTTAAGACCACCATATTCAACAGTAATTACATGAAAATTTATTGTTATGATAGCCATAATAGCTGAAATTCTGCAAATTTGATACGGCAGTATCGATGCACTTTGTTTGGGATGTGGATGCATAATGTTTATGTACTTTTTTTGTGGGTGCAAAATTTGCTGTAATAGCTTGAACTTACATCTTGTACGAATGTAGACGAAGTATTCAATGAGTTGAATGTCATAGATGGGCTCCATTTGCCCATATTAATTGCCAATGAATCATCTTCAGCAGCCTCAGCCATGACCTCCAAGGAGGGATTATTCACCTTTTCTCCTGCTTCAAACGGATTCCACGAACCAAATTGGGTGAGGTTACCATTATTGTTGGTTGTGTCATCAGCTGCTGGCAATGATTTGCGACTTTTCATCTTCATCTTCTGCTTCTGTTTGGTCCTCTCTCTTGCCCTCTCTCTAGCCTTTTCCCTTGACTCCCTTGCAACTAGAGGATCCAATAGTGCACTCTTTCTTGCATTTTTTGTCCGTCTCTTTACCAGTAGGGAACGTTCTCCCTCTTGCTCTTGATTCATCCCGCTTAACGCCACCTCGTCCAAACCTGACACCCCTTCACACTCTGAAGTTGAAGAAGCACTCTTCACCCCACCATTCCCACAGCAATTATTGTAATTCTTGTCCATTGCTAGCTGTTTGATCTCGTCCTTTGACTGATTCAGCAGCCACTCAACGGTTTTGCTGGCCTTGTCAAAGCCTAGGATGTCTTGGAGACCAAAGAATCTCTTGGCTACTTCCAGAGAAAGTCTCATTCTCCGATCTCTTAGCCCTCTAGCCGTCTTGATCTTGCTGTGCCTATCTCTCTTGCAAATCCTCTTATTCCTTACCGGGATCTGCTCATTCTTGTTCGAAACCTCCATGCTGGCACTACCTGATTCAGCTGGAGGTTGTGATTGATGATGAAGCAAGAGGTGGTCATGATGATGGTTTGGTTGTTGAGGGAGGAAGATTTCGTTGTCTTCAAAGGAAGGCGGAGGGAAGTGAAGAAAGGAGAAAGGAAGAGGAGCAGGAGGAGCAGGAAAGTTATGTTGCGTGGAGCTTAGGTTGCTGTCGAAGGGAAAAGGGTTCGAAGGAAACATGTTGGTTGGATACTTTGGGACTGTTGCACTTGATGATAACCCTAGCTAGCCTCTGCTGCGAAACTAGAAAAAGCTTGAGAACGACATGTTCAGTTTTATGAAGGAGCAATAGAGCAGCAATTCCATCCTTTTCACTTCATTTTTAGTTCGACGGCTCCCCAGCGCTCTACCTGCATAAAAGCAAGATAATACAGTTTGAGAAAGACAACCATATTCTTACTGTTCTTTTTACCTACTGATGATGATGCTCCACCGTATATGTGTTCGTGTGTAGCTGTGCGAGAGAGAGAGGTGTTGTACAACTGCCTCCTTGAAGCGAAGTACGTACAAAAGTTTGAGAAAGACAGCACAGACCATAATACCTTACAGGCATGAGGGTTGAATGATGAGCTTGGCCAAAGAGAGAGAAAGAAGGCACAGAGTAAAGATGTTGTGAGTGATTAAAGAACCACCACGCAACAACGGCAATTTATTGCCCGTAATCCAACCACCTTTTTTCTTAATAGCTTTCGAGCTAAAAGTTAACCTCTCTTTAGAACCATATTATGAGATTTGAGAAGTCAGTGGATAGATAATGTCCTCTCATCTTTGCCACTTCACGTGGTCCGTAGGCGCCACTTCACGCGCAACTCAAAACCCACCTTCTCTATCTCCTTCCCCCCTCTCTTTACTAACTTAGATTCCTGTCACATTTCACTTGATATATATATATAATTCATCTTTAATGTTTATTTATGTATTTATCTGTTTGATCTGGTTTTTATTCTGCTGCTTAGTCTGTCTCATTGACCTTGCATGGACTTAAAAGTTCCATCCATCCATGTCTGTCTCTGTCCGGTTCATTCTCTGAGACGCGCACACAGAGAGTGGTTTGGATGGGAAGGCGTGGGACGTCACATGCCATGACTTTTTATGGGAAGACACACATAACACAAATTTATTTTCCTCTTCTTCTTCTTTATTATTCCCGTAGTTGATGTCGATCCTTCTTTTTTGGGGGAAAAGAAAAAAGAAAAGAAAAAAAGCCAATTCCCTGGTAGAAGAAAGTCGAATCTGTCCACTGTTTACCTACACGTGTCCCTACCCAGCCCTAAAGAGGAGAGATAAAGGTGCAATAATTATTTCCGTCGAACGGGCTTCCACTGTGAGGCCTGCCATGGGAAGCAATGCTCCCTTTGACTGGGGTTCCTTACCACGTCATTTTCACCAAAAAGAGAAGTTCCGATTATTTATCTGTTTATCTATGGATCCATCCATCAAAGTCTATTTGAGAATATCTTCTTGTTGGTTTTCCCTTCCCATGCGTGCCTAAGCTTATCCCTTTACCTTATGGCCGAAAATGCTCTTGCTGTGCTGCTTTTCGCTGGTGTTGTTAGGTCAAATGCTTATCATTATTAGATTAGAAACATTAACTACTAGTCGATTATGACTAAATATTTATTTTCTTCATTTATCATAAAGACTGTGATTCGAACACACAGCATTTATAGATCTGATTACTTAATCTGTATATGGCGGCCTTGTACTTGTTTTATTTCAAAATCGGGATAGTCCCACTTACACTTGAAAGCCCTTCCTCTGCACGCACCTGTATGACCTAACAAACTTTCCTCTTTCTCAGTTCTTCTTTCCATTTATAAATGCCGTTCTTCCCACTTAATACAAACTTTCCTCTTTCTCAGATCTGTGTTTTTCTCTCCATTTATACATGCCGTTCTTCCCACTTAATTTTATCGACAAGTATACCAATAACTTTCCCCTCTCTCTGTAGCTATAGCTGAGTCTTGCGAGCACTTCAAGAATGGCATAATTACAAGGACCACATGATATATGGCAAAGCAAGGGTCGTTCTGGGGTTGCTTTCAAGCAGGAGAGATAACTCTATGACAAGAAAGCAGTGGTGAATATTGTAGGGCATGTGTGTTAGAGTGCTTGATTATGAGACCACAAAGCCAAAACCCTACATAGTCATGCCTGCTTATACTCCTAGTGCTTTCATTTCTATGGATAGGTTTTTTTCCTCCCCTTAAATTTTCCTCTGTACCAGAAAAGAGAAAAGAAAGAAAACCTCCTATTTGTGGTTGAGATTGCGAGCTAGCTAGCTTCCCGTTCCCTTATATCTCAGATATATCAGATCACTGTTTCTCTCGTTTCTCCTCGCTTTTCAGAGACATCTCGATTTGTGCGTTTAACGGGATGAACCAGTTTCCTGTCTCATGGGTCAATAATTAATTCCCTCTTATCAGAAGCTGATCATTGGGTCTCAAATTGGAAAAGAAAAATCTGCGTTTTTTTGTGCAGAAATTAATTTTGTGCCCACTCTTTCAGCATTATTTTGCTGCACGTTCTGTTGGTGGAACAAGTACAAGCTTTTCCGTTTTAGGCCGAAATTATCTCTAGCTTCTGTATACTTTTCTTGAACCAATAGCTTATGCATGTTCAGATTTTTAAGTCTTTCCTGACAAATTCAACATAAGGCATTTCAGGGGGAAAAAAAACTTTCATATCTGTATTATTATTAGAAATTGTGAGTTCTAATCTTTTAGCTTTTGGTTTGAAAAATATTTAGTGTGTCTGAACGCATGCGCATAAGCACTTGCCAGACATAAAGCTTAGTCATTAAAGCATTACATGTTAACAAATAAAGTGTCCAATTTTTGTCATTGGATCTTTCTCCCAGCACTTATTCCCCCACATCAGAACTTGACTACATTAATCCATCATTTTCTGTGTGTTAGTAGATACTGTAAGGCAGACTTGTTTGGCTCATCTTTTGGAATTTTTCGCCCTAATTATTGAATTAGCTTTGGACAATTAAGAGCAAGATCTACTTGTATTATTATCTATATTCTCTTGTTTACCAGTTATGATTTGATTAGATGGCCCCTAAAGTTTCTTTCACAACCTAGCAAACCCCTTCACAACATCTATGTTCAGATAGGGCCCAATGATTTGATGCTTCAAAACTATATATACAGCAAGTTTCTGTGGGTATACATTTATACAGGATTCTGTCCTAGAACATTTGGAAACAGGAAATAAAACTTACTTCCTCTTGCAAAACCTTTGATTTGTCTTATACATTACCTTATTCATAAAGTTCAAAAAAGATTCTGTGGCCAGAGCTTGCCATTTTGATGCAACATCATATATAAACGTACAGTTTCTATTTGAGAACCAGCTAATAAATGATCATCATATAAATTAACTAACTTGTGTTCCTGGTCTATCAACCCAATAGGTTTCAATTCTAAAATTAAGAAGTCATACTCTTTTATTTGTCATGTTGTTCTTGGTTTAGATGAACATAAATAAAAACCAATAAAATTTGATCAATTTGGTGAAGAAGCCATTCATATATCTAAAACCTGTTGATAAGTAATATACAGTAATGTCTTTCTGAGTATTGTTTCAGGTGTTAGGTCACTGCCTGAATTTTGTCCTTACACTCTCATTCTGGCACGAACTGTTTGTTGAAGAAAAGAAATAATTGAAATGTTGATCTTTTAACCAGAATTATGATGAATAACCGAATGCATTGGACAATGATCACTTCTCTTTTATCTAAAAAGCAGTTTCTGTTTCTGGGATCAAATTAATAAAAACTATTCTTTTCTTTTCTTTTCTTTTCTGATATGACGCCTTGTCTGTCCCTTTAATTAACTGCTTGGGCGTAGCACACTGATTTATCGCTTGCTTAATAGTTAATACCTATCCTAGCTGCCCAAGATCAGTCACGCTGATAGAGTAGTTGATCCTTTTACCGAGGCAATACTTTCTAAATAAAATATATCTATAATCAAAATAGATTTTACGGTACAGGCTTTGACGTGTTCTTCCCCAGATTATTTAAGTTTTTATAATTTAAAAAAAAATCAGAGAGAATATTTTTCATGCGAAGGAAGGGAAAATCATCAGAGAATTATCTATTTTTCCTTCCTGTCTATATCTTTTCTGTTTTCTTGATTTCACTCATTTCCCTTCAGATCTCTCTTAGCAGCTTTACAGTTGCAGTTTTAAAATTTGAATCGCATTATTTCCACCAACTTGCTGAAACTCATCGAATTGCCCTAAGCTTTTGTTGCAATATTACTTTTAGAGAAAAAGGCAAAAGTCACTTCCATTCAAATTAAACTCTGGGTGATTTGATATAGACCCTTGTTTTTGAAAAATTTAATTTTTTTTTTTTTGCCAAGAAAAATTTAATTCAGTTATGTAGTTCCTGATCAACTTTTTGTTCTGCCTGTGGGACATTATTCTTCAATCAACATTTTATATATGACAGTAACTACTGGGAAGTTCGTCGTAACATTGAGTTTACCCTTGTTTAGGAAAATTGTAGAAACATATCCTTTTAGAATGTAAAGGTACAAGAACCCTATTACCAAAAGGGAAAAAAAAAAAAAGAAACAAAACCCTAGATTTTCGTGTTCAAAATCCTAAAACTAAGTGGATTATTAATTTGGGCAGCCAAAATTGACTTTTCCAGCTTCTTTTCTTCTTGCGAACATCATTGCAGTTTGGCTTCAGCTGTCCAACATTATTCTTCAGCTCGGCAGTTAGTCTCCTATCTCCAAGAAAGGAGAGAATTTAAAAACAAAAATTCTTTCCCTAATTTTATTGTTGTCCCATGGCCATCTCCATCTCCGTTAATTTTCTTTGGTTGTCAAAGAGAGTTGCAGCATGGGGGCTCACGATAAGCTTTAATTTGGCCAATAATGAACATCTTTTGTGTGGATGGCACTTCTCCATTCAAATCAATCATTCAAATGTCGTCCTTTGTGTCCTCTGTCATATTTTCATGCCCTGTTCCTTCTCATCAGAATGAACATGCTCCCTCCCTTACTTTCTTTTTGGGGGTCACACATGCTCTGAAAATTCTTTTCTTATTTTTCTGTTTGGATAAGGACCCAGTCCAGTCTGATCCTATTCACTCTGAAATAATCAAGGCGGACGTAGGTTTTAATTATTACTCCTCTGATCCTTATTAAGACTCATTT